TCCCACTTACTTTCGCTGCCAAGTTTTTGTTTCTCGGTCAGCTCTACTATTGCCCGGCAGAATGATGATTTCACGTCTTCAAAGAACTGCTGCACAACATGGCATAGAACAGTAGCGACTAACGGATCGTAATCACGTCGTAGGAAATTTTCAAATATAATACACCATCTCTATAGCAAAGACCAATTCGGTATACTCATTTGCGGCCTGTTCTCCTAGGCGATTGCAAAGCTTGGAAAAAGTAACAAGCGACATGCATCTCGACGCTCAATCCACGCAACAGGGATTTCCCCTTTGCAGTTAAACTCATGGTTATATGTGTCTCTTACCATATTGGTACCTATATTCGTAGCCTTATCGCAACACAAGCCCGGTCAAGAGGATGCACGTACACTGATGATGATGTACAAGAAGACACTTTTAGCGAGCAGTAATCACGCCTCAAAAAGCAATATACAGTTACATGTTACTACCTACTATAATCCGTGAATGCAAGTTGGTGAACAAAACGGCAAGTTGTGTTACTGTGCCTACATGTATTCTGTATGGGTCAAGGAGAGGGAGCTTCAGCTTGGCCTAAACGATCCAAGGCTAAGAATTGCTGCTGCAAGAAATAAAAGGCCAGCGAAAGCAATTTTAGGGCGATTAGGCTGAAACCCATTGTCGGCGAGGCTGAGAATATTACTGAGGGACGCCTACAGGTTAGCTACAATGGCGCCATGGGTGTCCAGTAGAGAGGGCGCTTGGAAGTCGAAAAGATCGGAGATGCCACTGCCATCATAAACATAGAGTGTGTCGAGCTTTCGTTTCAAAGGAGATGAGCACTTCAGGCAAGAAGGAAGTTTGTTGTACTCAATAGGCCGTCTTGGAATGACCGAGTCAAGTTCAATAAGCACTACTGCAAGAAATGACGGCCCCAGCGACACAGCCAGAAAGAAGCTGCCGCCAATAGTTTAGCAAAGAAGATATTGTTTCAATATAAAAATCCATATAGGCATGAAAATTCTTAATGGTGCTTGAAGATGAACCAAATCCAACATTTAAGCACGCACACTATAACAATTAATCTACAAGTTTCAGTTCACCAGTCGCAACAGCTCAGATCAACCCACAGCCAAAAGCTCTGCCTCCTCGTATCAACAAATACGTCACCTGTTTAATGGCCACCATGGGCCGAAAGTATTATCTAGTCTCATAGCCTTATTATATAAGTATTCTTATCCTATCTATTTCACTTAGTGGACCTCCCATAGCAGCGGTCTGGACAATCGCTATCGCCAACATCGCCGCCGTGATCCTCCAACTTTCAGATCCCAAGACACAACCCGACGACAGCTTCATCAATTCACGTCGCCAAATGAAGAGATCGAGGTGGTCTAGAAAGAGCAGAGATAGAGACCCTGCGTGCAGATGTTACACCACCACTTCTATCGTTGATATTTACTATTTCCAATAGAAAAGCTGACTCACATTCCGAAGCAAGGTTGGGCAGTTTTGTTCGGATATATGCCTCTAATTAATATTCTTGACGAGACCAAACAGTCATAAATAGCGCGCTTGGTCTGGTTAGTCCAGCAGAGAGTTGGACTCGCGTGGCGCCAAGGACGACTACTTCCATCGACTGATATTCTCTGTGAAATACTGTGTGTACGACAATCATTACAGCTTAGGAGATTTTCTCTGTAAAAATTGAGATAAAACATCAGTTCAAACTCATTCCAAGCCCGACCCCACCAGGCGCAGCAAACGGCGTCTCGGGCACGCGTAAAACGGGGATAAGATCCAGGCGTGATCGCGGGAGCTTTTGTTGCACGGGCCAGAAGGGGGCTGCAGTACATTTACATGTACTCTGTGTCATTGAACCAGATGACTCAATATGGAACTGGATTCGATGGCGCATTGGAAGTCATCCGAGGACGCAACGGATGGAAGTGTCCCTATAAGGGACGTCAACTGCACTATGTTAACCTTTGGAAAAAGGAACACCCCACAACTGCGCCGATGACCAGAGCATGTTAAATTTATCAGCCTTGAAACACAACACTATGAAGGATATTTGGACGCATGCACCGCCGAATGTGTCTGTACGAACATACCAAAGACCCAACGCTGCTCGGTATGAGGCGGCTACAGAGATGTTATAAAGATACCAACGATGGCCAATTAATGGAAAAACCCGGACATCATCACATTTGGATATGCACACCATTTGAAGTCGCTTTCGACGAGTCGACAATCAGAGAGAGATGGGTGTATGTTAGCTAGTGTGTAATACATACATACAAGACCATCGCTGTAACATCGTTATCCCAATACCCTCCGTCTCTCCACCTTACCAGTATGCCAGACAACCGAGGAGACGGAGTCAAAATAATGGACTTGGAGCCACGGCGGAAATTTATGATGTACGATACTACAAGGGTTAGTTGATACATGTAGGAGGCCATGCTATTCAACTCCATGTACAAGTGAAAAGACTGGAAGAACAAGCTCAAAGTCAAAAACGAGCCATAAATAGTCATACACGGGCGCACTCCATAACACGAACAACACTATGCGACAGGAAATGAAAACACTGAAATACAACAACACTCTACGACAGGAAAGGAAAACTAGGAGATGCCTTGACGGAGACGAGACAGAGAATCGCTGATTACGACGGAATAATGAAGCAACTCATACGGTGAATTATGGCGCTGGAGGAAACAGCACCACAATGAGAACAGACATTCATCAAAACCCCAACATAGCCCAATGAGGGCGTTGGCATTTAGCGGCGGGCACCTGTTACGTGCAATAGGCACGGTGACATGAGCACGGGAATGTAGCTATAAAACAGCCATTCCCAATCAAAATGGCATTACTACTGTCTTTTCTTCGTGGTGATGGAACCACGGCTCCATGGACGATATTGCGCGGGGCAAGAGTTGTACAGAGAACCAGTCGGCCAGAACTGGATTGTGCGTTGCAACAATATCTACGATACTCGTGAAAACATATTCACGCATACCCACCGTAGCATTGAATGGGTTTCTTGGAGTGTTAACTCGATGGTTGTTTCAGGTATCTCGTATGGCGCGGTAATTTCAGCTTGATTCTGCATGATGGATAATCCAGGACAATCCATAAAAACATGTCCATAGATCCCATAGTATGTGTACCCCCGGCAGTAGCAATTGTTTGGGTTCCATGGATGCGGGATAGGAACAGCAATAGTCGTAATTGGTATTTATTTATATGGTGAGGCTGGATCGGCACAGGCGTTGTATAGCTGCATCGGCTCCCGTATTTCCTAAGACGATCTGGATATCTCGTCGCTCTGCCGCCCTTGTCTTCACATATTCCATAGAAACTGGCCGGCTGAGACTCTTCATGACGATATATCCGCACACCTTTAGTCTTGTGGTTTATCACCACATGCCGCAGGTCAAGGCCACGACTCGACGTGTGCACTGCGCAGCCGTAGACGGACAGATGGCGAGATATACGCCTTTCGTGCCAAGGCGGTCGGACAAGTCTGCACGAAACGCATAGACTCCCTCGCCGGAAGCTGTAAATGGCGTCGAAGAAAGCTGCAAATTGCTTGGCGTGTTGCTGGCAGTGGCGGATTCGTTGCAGGCAGCATTGCCGCAGAGGCTCACTACGCTTTCGCGTATTTTCACAGTTGATGTTGCTGATTCCATGTTCCTTTAGAATCTTGTTACATCTCAGTGCTCTTCCTTATACCAGCCACAGTAGTAGTTTGGTGGGTTTCTTGGACTGATTACGCCATGGCTGATTGCTGATGCAGGTATATCATATGGCATGATGGTTCCGGCTTAATTTTGCATTGTGGTAAGGGGTAGACAACAAGCCAATGGTTTCAGATGCTGTCCATGGAGAAGCTAAGCTAAGTTGGATGTGACACTAAATTAAAGACGGTAACAGACATGGGGAGGCAATGTTGAGGAATACAAATAACAAAGAAGCAAAGAACTAAGAGACGGCTTGTTGGGAGCTGGGCTAAGATTTATACGTGTAGGTAGGTACGCAAGTGACGACGTCGATATCATCAAGGCAACGATACTTGCTAAGAGAGAACTCCGGCTGTGCAGGCCTGTCCGAAAGCGCAGTAAAGACTATCGAAACGCATCACGTATTCAGCGTCAGACATTTTACAAAGTGGTAGAGTACTAGAGCGACAAAGATGGTAACAAAGTTACCCAACGAGTATGCTTCCTTAAACCATCACTCGCAAAGAAGTGGCCTGTCTAATTTTCGAAACCGCTTGTCGAGTTTGGCGCTTTTTGACCAAAGTCCTATTGAAGATTAGTAAAAGAACCTAACCTACAATCTTCTTTCCCAGACTTTGAAGGGCTTATCACGGCGGTTTATGACGGGAGGTTGCTTCTGTTTGACATGTGATCGATGTTGGCATTTGTCAATGCGATGGCATATTAGCAGTGTCTTATAAAATGTTGAATCCAATGATTAGTCGTAAAAATTAGTAGGTGTCTTCTTCTTTTGACACCGAAGCTAGGGATGCTTAATGTGTGGACATGTTCATCTTAGCACCCTGTTATCCACCTACAATTACAATGTATGAAACCTTTTTGTCTATTCGTTCTCCTCAAAGATCTTTTCCTCTTGTTCCTTCTGTCGCCATCAATACGGCTGTTGCTATTGCTTATTCCCCGCTCAAAGCTATCGACTTACACGGCGTGCTACAGGGCATCAAATACATGCCTCTACTATACCTTTGCCTGCGGCATATAAAACAAATATATCCACAATCAAGTTGAGATTGCAATCATCTCCATTACACTTCTCATGCTTAAAAAAATCCCATTATTTTCCACCATCTTCCTTGTTACCCTGTATCTTGCAAGTCTGCTGACTCATCATCCTTCAGGCACAGCCTTGCAGCAAGTGGGCCGTCTCCAATCCTGCCCCACCATCACCCAGAGCCTCGTCACCAACGGAACGTCATCCCGCAACAGGACATCCAACCGCATATTCACATCCTCAGCCTCGCCCGTTCACAGCGCTCCCATCTTCAACTACTCAACAAATCAAAAACCAAGGTCACAAAATCCCCAGCGCAACCATGAATCGCCTCTTCGGCTCCAAGCCCACCGGCCCCAAACCAACCCTCAACGGCGCAATCTCCAACATCGACACCCGCATCGCCTCCATCGACACCAAGCTCAAGGCCCTCAACGGCGAACTCTCCGCCTACCAAGACAAGCTCTCCAAAATGCGCGACGGCCCCGGCAAGCAGGCCATCAAGCAAAAGGCCCTCAAGGTCCTGCAGCGCCGCAAAGCCTACGAGGCCGAAAAGGACAAGCTCGAAAGCCAAGTCTGGAACATGGAGCAGGCGCAGACCATGCAGGACAACCTCAAGAACGTCATGACCCAGGTCGACGCCATGAAGACGACCAATAAAGAGCTGCGCAAGCAGTATGGCAAGATTGACCTCGACAAGATTGAGCGCCTGCAGGACGACATGGCAGATCTGCTCGATGTCGGCAATGAGATCCAGGAGAGCCTTGCGAGGGGCTATGATATACCCGATGAGGTGGACGAGGCCGAGCTGGATGCTGAGCTGGAGGCGTTGGGCATGGAGGCCGAGCTGGAGCAGGAGTATGGCAGTGGCGCCGTGCCGGGCTTTTTGACGGATGAGGTTGTGCCCGAGTTTGTGGACGAGCCGCCGCAGACGGAGGAGAAGGTGAAGCAGGCTGCGGGTTGATTTTTGCGCATATATATTTTATTTGTACTCATTGAAATGACGGGATGACTTGCGGCGGCCTATTTTATCAGTCCAAAGAGGAAAGCACATCATTTAGGCGCAGAATTGCTTCCAAGCTCACTAAAATATATCATTTGCTCTTTTTATTTCCCTCCCTAGACTCAAGCCCTATAGTACATGCCATCACAAGTGAAAACACAGAAATAGAGAGAAAAGAGCGTTCATCAATTTCATCATGTCCTCCTAGGCGCAGACCCAGAAAGAATAAAAGGGCGTGCTAATCTAATGCCATCTACAGAATTTTCTTCTTCTTTTTTCTTTTCATTTCTTTTCTTTACCCAAAGGATTTCCCCCTTCCTCAAGAAAAAAAAAGGCATGTTTCTTGTACGTTGAATAATTTATTACAAAAAACATGTGCCGTAATCTCAAGCAAACAAGTGGGAATACCACTCATCGCTCGTCAGATAAGACGGGGTTATGATATGCATACAACATGTACATATAACGCAATGACATGTTACAGACTCCGGACGTAGTTGGTTGAAAATTGAACGCCGGGAATGCAGAGTACCTAGTTCCAGTAATTCCATCGCTATCAAACAAACAAAAGGAAATGAGCTTCCATGATTACTATGCCGAATGTTGTTCGCCCCTTTCAAACTCCTGCCAAACATATTCCTCGCTTGGTGAAGGGGCGTAGGAATATGCAAGTGTCCCTTTACAGAAGAGCTTTGTGCCTGGTTTCATCAAAGACCCTCCCCCTCCTTACATGAACCTTGCTTCAATCAATCAACCGCCGCAAAGAAGCGAGCCACCTCTTCCAACTCAGGATCCCCATTGCAAAAGTCCCAACCTACAATGACTGGAGCCTGGCTACAGCATATGATCTTGCGGGCATCGAACTGAAGCTTGAAAACGCGCGCTGGGGGGTTCTCCGCCGCCGCAATGCGTGGGCGTGACTCAGGAGGCTGCGGGTTGTTTTCGACTTCAGTCGGTCCTTGCTGCCCATGGACTTGCCCAGGAATCTCAGGCTGTTGGACCATGGGAGGGAGTTGGGGCGGAGGTCCCTGGCCGGGAGTCACGGAAAGTTGAGACGGTTGGGGCACCGGTGCATGGAGCGGCGTAGGAGCTGGGACTTGTGACACCATTGCTGGTGAATATGCCAGCTGTCTATATTCACTGTTGCCACCAGCGGTGTTATTATTGTTGCTACCGCCACCAATGCCATCACCTGCTACAAAGGCGCCGGTAGACGGGCCCGCCATCGATCCGCCAGCATATGGAGGAGCCAGGTTGAGGGCTCTTGCATCTGTGGTAGCGGTAGGGCCTGGTATGTGGGAGTTGCCGCGAGAAATGAGCCGCTGTCTGGCCATCTGGTTGTTCTGTATCGCGATTAAGCCGTCCGCCACCGCCTGTCGGAGATGTGCCCGCACAAAGGGAGAAGGCTCTCGCTCAATCGCGGCTTGTAGGTAGCCAAAATAGATGAGCATGGATGGGTGGCTTGCCAGCGCCTGTCTCAGCGCTGCAACCCCAAAGGGGACCGTCTGGTCAATCATGGCCATGTAAAGCCGTGCTGACTGGCTGTTCTCGCTGTTTGGATCCAGTATAGGCGAGGATTGCATGCCCTGCGGCGCGCCAGGACTCACCGCCGACACGGCAATGGCCGCCGAGGCAAACTGAGTGCTCTGTCGCTGAACGTTGGTCAGGGCGACTTGTCTATGCGCCGCCTCGGCAGCTTCTTCCTGGCGAAGATGATGTCCGGGCTTCCACACGCCCTCCTTATCCCGCCGCCAGATGATGATGCTTTGGTCATACGAGCCCGAAACGATTCGCCCGTACTTGCGTCCGCCTCCTCCGCCAGGCGGAACTTTGGCGCCAGTAGCCTGGAGATCAGCCGGCCGAGAGCTTCCCGCATTCACTCGCCTAGAGCGACGGATTCTCCGGTCACCCTCGTGGTCAATCTCTCCCGCTTCTACAGCTCTAAAGTATTCGGCGTCCACTCTCTTCGCCTCGGCCTCGTCTTCCTGCTTGCTGTAGGGCAAGTCGCCAAAGCCGGCCTGGACGGTTCGCACCAGATGGGCGTGTCCGCGAAGGGAGGCCACTTTCAGGCCGGTCAGCGCGTCGAAAATGCAGACTTCGTAGTCACTACTACCGCTCACAATCCGGCGTTCGTCAAACTCGACGCAGGCAATGCCCTTTTCATGCGCCGGAATGGTTTGTGTGCAAACCTGCTCTGGCCAGTTCCATACCTTGATGTGGCGATCGCCAGAGACGGAAACAATAGTGCGGCCCCGGATCTGAATGGCGTTGACGGCGGCACCGTGCCCCTCCAGCTTGCCAATCACCGTGTAGGCGGGTTTGATGGGAAGCTCCTGGGACAGATCGAGCTCGTAACCATAGGGCTTGACGCTGATGCCCACCGGGTTAACGGCTGCATCCACAGGGCCATAGCCCAGATCGCCGTACTTGAGAGGGCGACGGTTGAAAATCTTGATGGTCTTGTCTTTGGAAGATGTGACGAGAACATTTTTGTCGAATCGCACGTTAAGCACAGATTCACGATGCGCATTGGTAATCTTTTGCACAAGCTCTCCGGTGGAAAAGCGCCAGATGAAGATGTTAGAGTCACTGCTACCGGAGACCAAGATGTCCTCGGCCGGGTCTGCGTCGAACTGAAGGCACAAGACCGAACCGTGGTGGCCTGCGAGCGGTGGACGAACTAGGCGGCGGGTGTGTAAGTTCCAGATTCTCATTGTGCGATCTCGGCTGCCGCTGACGAGATAGTTTGCGTCAAACTGCAGAGTGTAGACGCACTCCTGATGGCCTTCTTCGGGAAAGTCGGGGTGAGGCAGTACAAAAGTCTTGAATTTGCCCAGCTCCCAGTTCGATTCAAGTCGTCGCCTCATGTTATAGAGATACTTCCAGTTGATGCGATAGCGGGAGCTGTTGATATCCCACGTCCACAGGGTTGACTTGATCATGCTCGCGGTGGTGTCGCCGGCCGCCATTACAGGCAGCGAGATCTCGGGGGTGCCGCCGGGCTCTTTGCGCTTGGCCCTGCTTTCCGACGACGACGACGACGATCCATAGCTCCGGTCTACAGCCTTACCTTTGGCGGACGAGAAGCTATCGAGATGCATATCTCCCAAGGAGGGGAGAGTCTGCTTGAAAGACTGCAGCGTACCGAGAGATCCAAAGAGGCTAGCCCCAGCGCTGCTCTCCTGGATGCTGGGCAGCCTATCGCGGTCCAGCATTTCCAAATCGTGGTCCTCATCTTCGTCGTGGTTGAGGATGGCTCGAATCTTGGTTGGGTGGTCGTCTGACGTCTGCATGCGGTGCAGGTGGCCGATGGAATTGCTCACGCCGGTGTTGACCCGAATCTCCCACGCATCGATCTCGGCCTGCACGGCCTTCCAGCCTTCGAGATAGTACAGCCGCTCCCATAGCTTGCGGTCCACGGCCAGGTCATACCAGGCACGGCACGTCTGCAGCACGCTGACGAGAGAGACGGGATCGAGATAGCCCAGGATCTTGAGGCAGATTTCGGCGGGGAGATGTCGGATGAAGTCGATGTACAGTCTCGGGCTGAGACGCTCGACGATCTCGACGATGGCGGAGGTTGGGAGCTGGTCCAAGAGGGCCATGGCCAGTTCTGCGGCGAGGGGGCTCAGCGACACGGTCACGGCATGCAAATGTTGGTGGTGGAGACTCACTTGATTTGACTGACACGGGCAGCTGCGAAGCATTTGCGGCCATCCACTGCGGCAGCTCCATGGGCGACTTGAGCGAGGCCAGCGACGAGATCTGCTCAGTCAGCCCCGGGCCCAGAGGATCCTCAGAGTAGCCCTCGTCGGGCTGGTGGGCGGGCGAAAACGGGCCCATGGAGGGCGTCAGGTTGTCCGGTCGCGACATTTCTGCGGCTCAGTCCAGCCTCGCTCGAGTTGGGTGAGTGAGGCTATCACAGGCCGGGCTCTGCCTTGTTGGTTCCGGAGGATTGCGATTGCGAAGCGCTGAGACCCAGACAGCCGCGCCAACTTCCCATGTCGTATCGGGCTCCAGCTAGCGTTGCCCGGGGGGGTCCGTGGAGAGTGCCAATAGCAGGGCGAGCCGAGTCTGGAGTGTGCAGGTGGCAAACAAAGCAGCAAGCAAGCAAACGGGATCAATTGGATGCTGCGAGAATCAAGCGGCCGCTGCAGCCTGGAGGTTTGCTCGTGGTAGTGGCTGGGCAGCTCGGCGCGGCGTTACAGCGCGGTTCCGGCGGGGGATGGCGCTGTCAGTGCCTTTGAATTGAGCTGCCAGGCTTCAGCCGCCGAAACCCAGCGCAGCGGACAGCGCCATGGCGCCGTTTTGGGAGGCAGGGGGGGGGGGGGGTCTACGGGCGCGGTACTGGGCTGCGTGCGAGCTGCAGTGCCGGTGGCCGGTACCCAGCAGGTAGCGCTGCTGTCTGGCCGGGGCTTCGATCTGCCTGTCTGCTACCCCAAAGCGGCTGCTGCGGGCCTTGTGTTAGTGGACGTTGTACTGTAATGGCGTTGCTCTGTCTGTAATTGACTTCAATTCAATTTTACTAAGCGGCTCTGTGTGATGGCGAGATTGCGCAGCCGTGGGGATGACGACGGCTCATATCGCTTCGCTGGCTCCAACTTGAGATGGCTTTGGGCCGCTTCTATGAAGTACAAGGAGATGGATGCCATTGATGATGGCAAGTGCCAGAAGCGTGGTGGCGTAGATTTCTTGTTATCAACTCTAAAATAGAACAACGATAATTCTGTGGATATTGTCTTCATTGTCTGCGCGTTGTTGCTACTAGTATCCACGTTAGTAGCCCACCATATCGCGGCTCCTCTGCTTGTCCCAAGCAACATCACGGATACCTGCCGAAAGCGTTCTCCACAGCTAACCGTGCAGTCAATCTATGCTGCTCCGGATAGATTAATAGATTGATTATTCTACACGTCCTTTTTCTGGGCATGCAGCTAGTTACTCGTAGTAGATCTACGTATGCGCAGCCTCCATACTCTTATACCCAGAAAACACTCGGGATTCAAAGATGGGTGCCGGCCAAATGCAAATCACACGGCTTGGCATTATTGCAGCTGCATGTAGCCTTTATACTCTTTTTAATGTTACACGCTCTACTGATAACCTTGATTCCAACCCTGATACGAGATAGGGCAGACCAGACACACAGATTGCTGCAACATCTTGTCATTGGTACATGAAGGTCTAGGTTACCCAAATATTACTCAGACCAAGGACCTGATGCTCGGAGGCAGACAAATCCAGTCAGATGCTGTACTCCATACCTACCAGCATGCCGCCAATTGGCTTGGCTGCACCGAATAGCTCGGATTAGATGCCATTTCGCTGGACCCAATCCTGCAGACGGGTCGCATCGACGGCCTCGGTCCCAGACCTTGGACGCAGCTCAGCCCTACCAAACGGGCGGTCTCTTTTCGCGTCCCAACTCCACCTCCGATTCAGCTCTTCACCGGGGTGAATCAACCGTGTTGGTGACGTTATTGTTGCTCAGCTGAGTACCTACAGTTGAAATAGGGTTACGATTCACCATCTCGGCTGACGTCCAGTGGACCGGACTCTTTCGGCTCGAGCATGAGTCGAGATGGGCGAGAAAGAGAGTGGCTGGTGTACACCTGCTTAGATATCGACGCCAGTACTACATGTACTTGCAGCATGCGGTGAAGAGGCCCGTATCGCGGCTTTGGCTCTTTCACCGCCGCCTTGGATGCCTCCTGTTGCCAGACGCAATTCGCATGCAGGCTCCTTGCTGCGAATCCACAAAATAACGGGCAGGTGACCAGAGCAAATCCTCATGGAACCCATATAGCAACAGTGGCTACCTACATGCACGTACTTATCATGCAGCACATGTGGGTTTCTGAAGCACGGAACGGTGATGCTGGCTGATACTGCCAAGTGGTGTCTGTTATTGGCTGCATGCGGTAGCTGTACTAATACTGGTTACCAAATGCAATAAAAGAGAACTTGCAAAGTGCCTGCGGGCCTCCTTTGTCTAGTTTCTGCATGTGCGACTCGACAGCAGTTTGTTTCTGTGAATAAACCGCTTTGTTCTATCCATGACCTGTGACTGTGTTTCATGTGGCGGCTCGAGCATAACAATGGAACGTCAAAAAAGAGTACACACCGAACTTGCTCTGCATTAGGCACAAGGCAAAAACGACGGCAGTTGCTAGAAAATGACAAGTGACGGGGTCTGCACAGGGGCTGTAGTATTTCTCCGAATGAGAGCGGTTGTTTTGGCTGCAGGTAGGGAGCACTGCAGTATCTCGTCGTTTTCCACCTCTGCCAAGCAGACGGTGGCCTCCCAGGAACGATGTATTCCAATTATTTTCATGCATGAGAGTAGATAATGTGCTGTACCCAGTAGTTGTACGAGTGCTAGTGCGCATCGCATCATGAGATATTGGAATCCGTCCATAGACAAACCCCGGTAGCGCCATGCCTCCCCAGTCCAAAAGGCTTTGGCAGTGTTACCTACTCGATGGACTATTAGCAATAGCTTAGAAACGGAGTCAATGGCTAGTCGCGAGTGCTTTTCTCGCAAGCCAATGCCCGCGTATTGCCCCAAGTACTTGGACGTATGACTCTGTATGTGACAATGCAGATGGCCTCGTGGGCAGTGCTGAGACTCGGCAACACAACCTCGCATCGTCTTGTTGGCTCAGCAGCCGCCGGCCGTGCGACTGAAACGGCGAGGAGAGGCATGTGAGGCCCGGAAACGAAACAAGGTCGTACGTTTTGGCGGCAAGAGACGCATGGAAGGGCGGGAGGGCCTCAGCCTGGGAGAAGCCGCGGTCTTGCCATCGACATGACGATACATGCATCCATTTGATGCCTGTCTCAGTTGAGCTCTCGAGGTTGACGGGCACTGGCCGTATCGCCGCAGGCTCTGATTCCAGTGCTGGGCTGCCCATCAGCGTTCGCCTTTAGCCCGCCCAGGCCTAGCGCCGCGCCTGTGAAACATGCAGCGACTGGGCCACCTGTCCCAGCTCGGCCTAAGGGACGCCAGCGCCTGTGCTCGCCTGTACTAGTACCGCGGCCTTGGGCACTAGTCGCAGGTCGCGCGAGTCTCGATACATGCGCTGCGCTGCGGCGGCGCCTTGCTGCCACGGTGGCAACTGGCGCTGGGCTAGACACAATGGCAGATGGCGCTGATGCCACGGGGTGAGAGACAAAGGGGAGCGCGAGTGGAAGAATAGCAGCCATACTGTAGCGAAGACGGCCGTGGCGTGCAGGGACTGGCAAAATGGAACATTCAGGAAAAAAGAAGAGGAAAAAAGGGTCGCCGAAGCGCCCCCTCTGCAGCCCCCGGTTGAGCCCCCTGAAATCGAGCCCGGCGCGCTAAACCGCCCCAATCGTCCCAATTAGCAGCCCCCAGAGCCTGTAGATCAACTGATGCCTGCCCCCCAACCCGCCCACCAGCCCGCCCTTGTGGTGTCTGGCTGTGGCGCCTGCGGGCTTCGGTACCTCGCGCCGAGTATCTGCCCACCGCCGCGCGCCTGCACAGGTACCGCCGCCGCCCGTACTGCCGTGAGCACGCCGTCTCGCCGCTGCGTTCCTCTCCTCCACTCGTCTGCGTGTTGGCAGCCTCTCTTCTTTTCCTTCTGTGCCCATTCCTGGCTCCCCCTTTACTTGTACGCCTCCTGATCCTGCCTCTGCCGCAGCCTCAGCGGTTCTGGATCTCTTTGACAGCGAGTCCCCGCACACCGACTGGCATCCGTACACACCTAATATCCGACCGGCAGATCGCAAAAGAAGCGTTGCGCGGGCATCGCTGGAGTCTGTTCCACGCCGTTTCGAGCCTTGACGCTGCCCACCACTGCTGCTGCAACGACAACAAGTAGAGCAGTAGCACCTAATCGCAGTCGATTTTTTTTTTGTTCAAGAAAGACACCAGACCAGCCGACAGAGACAAGAGATTACTCGATCGTTTGTTTGACGACCCGCCACGTACACAGTAGAAGCAACAGACAGAAAGAACAAGATAGACAGCACAATTAGACGCAAAGCTGCAGAAAGCAATATAGAGAGAGACTTAGAGAGCGAAAGCGACATAGACAACGAGCGTCTGTCAGCGAGACACATTCGCACCCGATTGACACGCAGAATCGACGAGCATATACCGCTTCCGCCGACTCTCTGTGCCGAACGAAAGCCTCGCCGAGACCCCCTTCAGCGCAAGTCTCGCTCCGCCTGCCCTGCCTTGCCCTGCCTGTGGCAAACGGCTCGTGAGGCTGTCCAACAACCCATTGACGCTGGCCTTTCGCGTTAAATGACGTGAATCCGTGCTCTTTAGGGATCCGCAACCCACGGACTCGTCTTCCGCGAGAAACTCGTTCGCTAAACCCCCGCCTTGGGCCTGAGCACCACCCCTGTTTTCCTCCTCCTTCTTCCTCAACCCTGACCTCTTCTCTTCGCTCGACCGAAAACCGCCCTTTCGTCGACCTCGACCTCAGACGCTGCTGCCAGGACCCAGCCCTGATATCGGGCCCCCGACGGATGGAGTAAAGAGGTCATGGCTCATGCACCCCTGCTCAGAACCAACACGGCCCCGGTCTTCCAGTCTCATCCCAACGGAGCGGGCGGTTTACCACATCAAAGCATGAGCAGCAGTGCGCCGCGCACTAGCCAGCTGTCTGGATCAACCGCCTATGCTGGATCTTCAACGTCGCTCACCTCACTCAACAGCGACATGACCGTGGTTGCCAATGGCCCGGTGGTGGCCACCAGTAACATCATCAATCAAAAGGCCGACGCCTCTCGCTCCCTCTACCAGATATGCATCTCCCTCAAGCAGCGCCTGGCCCAGGTGCCCGGCTTCGAGCAGTTTCTGCAGCACCTCGACCCGACCGACCCAGTCGATCCCCTCTGGAACCTCCTGCGCTCTGGCTATCCGCTGCTGGTAGTCTACAACACGCTGCGGCCCGCTGAGCCGCTGAGCGTCGACGACGCCAATGCCTCCGATTCCAAAAAGTCAAAGATTGCCATCTTCAAGTTCGTCCAGGCCTGCATGAAGGATCTCCAGGTGCCTCCGGCCGATTGTTTTGTCATTACGGATTTGATGGGCACTGACACGAGCGGCTTTGTCAAGGCAAGTACCCCATGAATGATTGAATGATTGTCCTCTGCCTGTTTTGGGGGACAAGGAAAAAGAGAAGAAGAAACGTGCCATCTCCTCTGTCGCTGATTGATGTATCCATCTTTGCCATCTGATTTTTTTTTAGTTCAAATGGGGGGGTAAAAACAAATTTTCTAACGTGTACATCAGGTTACCCAAGTCGTTAATTACGTCCTTGACCTTGCAGAGCGGCGCGGATTCCTTCTCCAGCAGGAGGCCTATCCCGATGGCGAGCCCACTGGCACCAACGGCACCTCCAAAATGACCTATCGAGACCATGTCATCAAAGAACTGGTGGATACCGAGCGCAAATATGTCCAGGACCTGGAAAACCTGCACGATTTGAAGAAGGCATTGGAGCAGAAAGGAGTAATTACCGGCGACATCGTTCACCAAATCTTCCTCAACATCAGCCTTATCCTCGACTTCCAACGCCGCTTTCTCATTCGCATCGAGACCACCAACTCTTTGCCCGCTGACTCCCAGCGATGGGGCCAGCCGTTTGTCACCCACGAGGAGTTCTTCAACATCTACCAGCCCTTCATCGCCAACCAGCGCAAGGCGGCGCAAATTGCCAATACAAATTTCGAACTCATCCGCCAGTCAGACCACCCCGTCGCAGCCGACTTTAACACTCTGGACGGTTTCCTCCTGAAGCCTATGCAGCGTCTAGTCAAGTATCCGCTGCTACTCAAGGTATGTCTTGACGAATACTCATTTTCTGCCCCAATGTTCAACTTCTCCTTCAATTATTGACTGGCTATTCAGGATCTGGCAAAGAAAACGGAAGACCCAGAGACAAAGGACGATCTGCTACAAGGATGTGAGGCTGCTGAGCGCGTTCTCCAGAAAGCAAACGAAGCCGTTAATCGCGACCTTCTCGACGAGGCGCTGGAGGAGCTCATGACCAGAGTTGATGACTGGAAATCACACAAGATTGAGTCATTTGGAAAGCTGTTGTTGCATGGCGTCTATGGTGTCATCACTGGCAAGAGTGAACAAGAGAAGGACGTACGTATATACTTGTTTCCCCTCCTTCGCGACGGCTAACAGAAGGCTAACTATCCCTACAGTATGAAATCTACCTCTTCGAATGCATTTTGCTATGCTGCAAGGAAATTTCCCCAAACAAGAGCAAGGACAAGAAAGAGAGGGCTCGGCTGCAATCACTCCCAAAGCAGAAGAACAGGACCGCCAAACTGCAACTCAAGGGCCGAATTTTCATGACCAACGTGACCGATGTCGTGTCTCTTTCCAAGCCAGGCTCTCACAGCGTCCAAATCTGGTGGAAAGGCGATCCTGGTGTCGAAAACTTCACCATCAAGTTCCTCACGGAGGAGATGATGAAGAAATGGGCAAACGGCCTGGAGACGCAACGTAAGGACAATGCGCCTCGCACCGCCACGAGCCCAGACGACAATCCCACCGACTTTGCTTGGACGCGCGACCAGGCCGGCGGCCTTGAAAACCCCTACCTACAACAAGACGACGACGATGAAGACGACATTGGCCCCGCTACTGCTCCTGCTCAGTTCCCAGTGCCAACAAGCTCATTCGGAGGTTCCATGGCCATCCCTAGGACCGCGTCGAGCTCCAACCTGAGAGACTTGAGGAAGGGCTCGGTAACCGTGGAGTCGTCGCAGTCTCTGGCCGGCATCGCGCGAGCTCCTCCGCCACGATTCCCGCTGCCAATGCCGCCAGCGCCCTTGTCCCTCCAGACCCAAAACAGCATGACCGTTCCATCGCCCGGCGCCCGCGGAGGAGATAGCTACTTTTCGCCCATTGGCGAATCACCTGCGTCTTCTCGAACCAGCGCAACCAGTGGAGTATTTTCGCCAAACATCAACCCATTCTCCAAAGCCGGGACTCCCCAAGCAGGATGGGATGAAAACAACCGCTATACGGCGCCAGCAATGCCCCGTGCCCCGTCTCGAGACGGTACGCCGCCCAGTGCCTACATGAATGGCAGACATAGCGCAAACCCGGCGGCGTCAAGGAGCCGCTCGTACAGCACTCCCGACGCCGCGGCTCAGGGCCAGCGACGCCAACCCAGCCAGAGCAACATCCCCGCCGTCCCCGGCATTCCCCTGCATCTCCATCCCGCTCACGACAGCACCATCCCGAGATCGCAAACAGGCTCCCCCCGGAACGAGGCAGCGGTGCCAGCCAGCCGGACGAGCACGCAGAGCCCCGGCTCCCAGCCCCAGCGGGCACACAAACACAAGCATTCGCACTCGGGCAGTGTCGGCGGCGCCATGGCACAGTTCCCTACCCAGCCCATCTACCCTCGACAGACCACGCCTGGACCTCCCATGAGCAGCAACGGCCTTCGTGTTGACCCTGCAGCGGCCAACTCGCGGACCGTATCACCGTCTCTCGGCACTGCGACCATGTCTCAAGGAATGCTGGCCCATCACGGCATGATACCTTCGGGTATGATGCCTCCGGGATTGGTGCCCCAGATTCCACAGAACAACCCGGCTGCAAGCCCCGAGGTGGCCTTGCCAACGCAACTCAAGGTCCGGGTCACCTGCGATACCGGAAACTATGTTACGCTCGTTGTTGCTTTCAACATCACGTACCAGTCCCTCGTTGATCGGATTGACGCCAAGCTTGCGCGGTTCACTACCAGCAGCATAGCACAAGGGTTGCTAAAGCTTCGCTATCAAGATGAAGACGAGGACTTTGTCACAATCGAGAGCGATGACGACATTCAGATTGCCTTTATGGAGTTCCGTGACGGTATGAAGAGCGCGTACAGTGGCGGCGTGGGAGAGATAGAGCTCTTCTGCGTCGGAGACATGGCAGCATAATAGCACCGCATCTGGAGCATTTCCTTTGGGAGAAGAGAAAGAAGAAGGCTCTTTTTATAGACGGAAAGAGAGGGGACAAGTATTTTGAGAAAACCAGCATACTTATTCCACGGACCACCAAGGAGCACCCGCATGTTTTGGTGTATAGAGAGCCATTGCATAGCAGCAGCAGCAGAAATCATTTTTATTTTAGAGCGGCACGACAACTGCCACCATATTAACGACAGTTCAAGGCCAACAACTACCAAAGATACCTCTTAAAATCATATAGACACGACACCACACGATATGTGCGATTATGACCAACCAATTTTACTTTATATGCTATTTATTATCATCCGATTCCAACTTTGGTCACTCATTCGCACCCGACTATCCATCTCACGTTGTCGACGGCCCGTTGCCATGTTTTAACTCCTTTTTTTCGCAGCCGCGAAACAAGTCTACAAATACCGAAAAAAGACGAGAAAAAAAAAGAAGAAACCAAGGATGCACAAAGCTTATTACGACGGACATTTGCGCATAACAAATCACTGCTGGACAGTTGGAAAATTCAGTCCAGCAAGAATATGCTGTCTATAAGCCGTCTCAACGATACACTCTTTCTCAACCAGACTTTTCCTTATCACTCTTCTTCTTTTCTCTATTACTACCCTACCTTTATTATTATCATCGGGGCCACACTATCTGGAGTTTTAAGATATACTTCATCTGAGTGGTTCTTCTACATATCTCTACCATCATTTCTTTTTCCTCTTCTTTTTGTTATTCATGGGATTCTATGGCGCTAGTGACAAAGACGGCAGGTTTTTATAGGAGAACTGAGAAGGGTATTCACTTTTTTGTTTTTGCCATCTTTGCAATAGTGTTTGTTTTGGGAGGATGATATTTTTACCCGTCTTGTTTTTGTCCCTTTTATGCATGCTTTGGCTTTTTTGTGTTTATTACCATTACCTCACACTTTCTGTTTTTTGCACCCTCTACTCCCACCACCACTATACTTTACCTCTCTCCCCCTGACTCTCTCACTCTCTCTCTTTGTTTTTTTGTCGTGTTTTTGGAATGATGGGTCTTGTTGTTGGATGTTGATTGTTCCTTTTAGTACTGGATAGATAGAAATCGGGGACGACAAAAGTGCAAACGGAGATGGTGAATTAAATAAAAAAATTACAAAATCTCTGTGGTCAATTGTGCAATATTGTGAAATGGTGATGGAAAGACAAATGTTGATCCAAGGGGAAGCTGTTGTAAACCTTTTTCCTTTTTTGAAAACACTTTTATTTCATATGTTGTGTCTGCTATTTGTACATTGGATGAAGCGCTCTATGTCACGCCATCTCATCATTTTGACATTTCTCTCCTTGCCCTTCTATAACACTCTTTTTATGAATCCCTCTTTTTTCCCTTCCTGGATATGTATGTATGTTGTACATTTTTACTTTTGGTGATATCGTCAAAGTGGCAACCAACGCCGGTCAATGTTTATCCTCCCGTCTTGCTTTTCTTCCTCCTCCCATTCTTCGCTCCTTCCCATGTTGCTCGTCAAAAAAAAAAAAATGTTCGTCGTTTGCGTAAATACCTTTGTTACGCATTTTGCTCCAGGGATGTCCAACCCTGATTCTTTGTTGGTGAAAAAGCCGTCTCCTCAATTCCTTGCTTCTTACGGCTGTTTTCGTATCACAATCCCTCGACTTGGTATACAGAACCCTCGAGTCGAGTCGAGTCGTCTTTCTTCGCAATCGCAATCGACAGCGGGAAAGAAAATCGTACAAGGGCTCCTCTCGATCATGCTACTCGAAAATCGCAATATAAATCCTTCCCTCCTTTTGTCTTTTGTACATCATTTCGTTTTCGTCGTCGTTTATTTCTGCTTCTTCGGGCTGGTTACGTATTTCTGCATCCGCGACAAGTGGTAGTTGATGGTATTCGCCGGCGCGGGAGGAGGCGCTGGGCCGTCCATGCATTTCCGGAGCTGGTTCTCGATGGCGGCGCAGCCGGCGGCGTTGAAGCCTGCTGAAGCCCAGCACGCTGTACAAGGAAGTCAACAATTTCTCTTCTTTTTACTTGTTTCTTTGGAAGATATACATACCGAGAACGCTGGACATGATGGCGATGCAAGGATTCTCGGGCTGGCGCTTGGGATTGTGCACCCGCAGCGTCTTCAGCGGGGGGAGACGAATGGCCTTTGCGCTCCCTGACATGTTGATCTTGGGGCCAGAATATTATTTGGGGGGTTCTTTTTGTTAAGAAAAGGGAGCAATGCGAAGCCGGGATGTCGCTGTGGTTTAAGCTGTGTTGCGCGGGATGATTTTTTGGCGGGATATTGAGAGAGGCCAATTGGAGCTTGAAGTCACGGGGGTGTGCACGTGACCCTCTTCGAATGATGTTGAGAGGGCGTTTCGCTGAAGACGCGTATTTGCTAACATTGCGTTGTCTTTGTTTTGTGTGATGGACGGTCAATTTATTTCGATTTATTTCTTTGGTTTAATTTTATGCGTCTCCTATGACTTGGGAACAGGAAAGACGAAAGGTGGAAGAACCGCTGCTGCAGTATTTCTGCTCTGGCGACTTACACCTGTGAGACATACGATTTTCTTCAAAATTTCTGATTCGCATAAGATAGATGTCTATTGATTCAAATTAGATGGCTAAAGCCCTGATGCCCGCTTAGAGCCTTGATAATGGTGAGCAAAGTTTATGGATGGGCCCTTTGATCGCATTAGTTTTGTCCATGGCTGAGATGAACATGTACCGAAGCATCTTAGTAGTACCTCATTGGAAATTTCCCCATACTGGTGTCAGCTTGGATCATCAAGGTACGTTTTCGCAAAACCAGAGGCCTGCGTGAGATTTTAAGCGCTTTTAAAGTAGGGGTTGCTTTGCGAGAGGCCTGCTTGAAGTATTTTCTTCCGAAGCTTCTCATCTTCTTAGACCATCCTCTCTTCTATGCTAGTCCTATCAGCAAGGTGTTGTAATTAGGGCATGGATGGTAAAGCTAAGCTGTAGTCTGGCAACACTCTCGCCGAGGTCATTCTCATCTCGGTTCCTTTGTGTAGTACTCAATGGTTTCGAACATGTCCAGCGACGATGTGCATGCAGATTACGGAAAACGCCCGAGTAGTTCGGTTTGGATCCACGCTGCAACTTCAGTGGCTGGACTGTAATTTGTTGTCTTCAGGGGAACCGTTCATCGCATGAGTATGCTCATCAGATTCGTGGCTTTTATTCTTGGCGGACTGAGGCGGCATTGCTCTTCTCTGCCTCATCCACCTTGTCAAGGCACAAGATTTGTTGGGCGGCGTGCACTGTGAAAATTTCTCAACTGGGCTTCTTATTCCGAATTGTGCTACAGATTGTCGTAGGTAAAGAGCAGTTGCTGGATTCTTGTCCGCGTAATCTCTTGACTTAGTCGGTGGGTATTTAGTGGCAGAAGGGGCAAAAGAAATACCTATCTTCAGATTATGTACCATTCTCTTGCTCTATAAACAAAGGGCTGTGAACTCTGACAAACACGGTGCAGCAAATAATGCATCCATGTTTCTTCTTTTTGCCTATGAGTGCCGGCATTTCTTCAAGTAGAGAATCCTCCTCTTCAGAGTCAGAATGAGTCTGAGGCTTGGATTCCAAAAGTTATCAATTGCAAGACCGGTTGCTGCTGAGTGTTCTCTTGTTCTCTATACCATGTCCATTACTGGCAGGACTACTTGTGGGTTGATTGTTGGTCTGAGTCTAGTCTCTGGCTACACTGTCTCGGTGAAGTGCGGCTTTGGGCTGCCTATCGCTATTTATAACGCCGCTCTAGAAAGATTCTTTGCTCATTTTGACTGTATATAGTAGAACTAGTTGTTGTAGCAGCATCAGCACCAGCAGCAACAGCAATAGCTACTGGTCAAGACTGCCATCCCAAGATCCCAGCTGGCTACTCCTTCTACAGCTGCCGAGCATAAACCCGTCCTGCCTCCATCTTCTCTCCATTCTTCTGGTTCCAACAACTTCCAACTCCCACAAGCCACCAGCCATCGCTATCAAACCGCGTCACCATGAATCCAATTAGGCCAATCAGGCCCGCACCACCAGCACCACAATTCAAGTGCCAAACATGCTATGTCTCGTTTCCCACGCTATTCCAGCTCGAGATCCATATCGACGCCTACGAGGTTCGTGCTCTGAAACAGGATCAAACCCGTTCTCGTCGGCCGTGGCTGACTCCCTCTCTCTGTCCGTCTGTTTGTCCCGTCCAGCGACTCATCACCGTTTTGATGGAGAGAGTTGCCAAAGCAGCGGCGCATCTCATACCCATCCAGCTAGACCCGTCCGATGCCGACAGGTTCTCCGAGTCAGTCGTCACCAGCAAATGCCCACTGCCGAGTTGCAATTCGGTGAAGCCGCTCAAGGACATGAAATTCCATTTTATACAGCGTATGTCGCTTCTTCTGAGCAAAACTGTGCTGCGTGTACGGAGGCCTGTGCTAACTGGACTCAAAACCAGATGTCGATTGCTTCGAGGTTTGCCCCAGCTGTGGCTATACCTTTGTCAACGTCCACGCCTTTTTTGTTCACCTCAGTGAATGCATCAAAAACGCCGATGAAGCAAAGAAAACGCACATGAACAGAAGGCGGCGTGCACTGGTCCATCGCACAGTGATGCGACTCCAAGAAGCCATGGACGAATTCACGACCGGGCCTGTCGAGACAAGACAAGACGTGAATGCAGGACATCTGCGACAGCATCAGCCACCGCGGCCGCCGTTCTCCGGTGACCCGTCGTTGCATCCTCGCCTGTCGCGCGATTCGTCGGTGCAGAGACACGAGAGAGGGACAGGACCGGTGTACGCTGCGAACCGCAACACAAGAACTCTAGACCAAATCCTGGGTCTGATCGGTCCTGCGACTGATACGCCGCAGCAACAGCCCTGGCGGCCTCCTGGCCTGCCGACTCACGCCTTTAGCCTTGCGCCAAGCTCTATGCGGGATCTTATACCGGTAAAGCCCGTGGTACCGCCTCTGTCTCGTCCAGTCGAGACTGCGTCTACCGTTCAGGCTCCGTGTCCAGTCGAGGAGGTGCCGTGTCCAGTCGAGACTCCACGTCTGGCCGAGGCTTCTCCTCAAGCTCCGTCCAACATGATGCTACCTCTGGACTTGGAGATGGACAATGTGATGCTGCCTGTGGACTGGGAGATGGATGAATTTATGGGGTCATGGCCTCCCGAGCCTTCTTTTGAGCTTAATCCAAACTAACCATGAATTTATAAAGTCGTATCGGTTGAGTAGGTTAGGCAGTAGAGGATATACCTGGTATTGCTCAGCTTTTTCAATAAATGGCATTCTTCAAATTAATAGCATGTCTCTATTGTCTGACTTGCTGCCTTTATGCTTTATTAAGCCCGTGCCCCTGACCGTCAGACGCCAACTCACACACGCACTCCAAATAGAGGAGACAGGTGTGTCGCATGCCATATGTCGTATGTCCTTTTGTCTCGGACACCTTATGTCCTAGACACCTTTTGGCCAAACACTTTTTTGTCCCAGACACCTTTGTCCTCGACACCCTTTGTCCTTGACACTCTTTGTCCTTGACACTCTTTGTCCTCGACACCCTTTGTCCTCGACACCCTTTGTCCTTGACACCCTTTGTCCTCGACATCTCCTCTCTTTCTCTTATCCCACCACATCAAACTTTTCATCGTCGTTATCAGCCATGTCAACATCTGCATTTGATCGGGAAGTAAAGGCTGCCCAGCCTGTTCGGACGGGAATGCTGGGCTCCTCAGCTTTGACTGGCTTGGCTGGCTTGGCCGCTGGCTTGGTTGGCTTGGCTGGCTTGGTTGGCTTGGCTGGCTTGGTTGACTTGGCTGGTTTGGCGGGGGGCGCGGGTTTGGCTGGTTTGGCTGCTCTGCTTGCCCTTGGAGCAGGCTTTGGGAGCTCTTGTTTGACGACGGGCTTTTCTTCTTCCTCTTCCTCCTCGCCGCCCTCTTCTCCTTCGCCTTCTGGGTCCTCTTCGTCGTCCTCTTCATCGTCGTCATCATCGTCGGAGTCGTCATCGTCATCATCGGAGCCTGAGCCTTCGCTCTCGCCCTCACTTCCAGGGTCGTAGTCCTCCTCGTCTTCGTCTTCTTCATCTTGTAGCTGCTGTTCGGCCTCCATCTGCGCACGCTCCAGCTCAGTCATGCCATCGCCTGCCCCCTCACCTTCTGCATCGCCATTCTCCTCTTCGCCATCCTTCTTCTTGGGCGCCTTGTTTTCAGCCAGCTGTAGCTTGCCCTTTCTCTGCTCGGCCATGCTCCTGTCCTGAAGCCTGTTTGTCTTGACGTAGTCATCGATGCCGCCGTAGTTTTGCTGGTCGAGCATACCGAACTCCAGTTCTTCCGTCTTGCCGTCCTCGTCTGTGAAGACTTCGACCACCATGTTGAATGTGATTTGCAGAATGCTCGTGTAGCTGATTGCGGCGATGCGGTTCATGGGGATGAAGATGAGTGGTTTCTTGAAGCCCCAGAAGATGCCGTTTTCGAGGAAGAAGAGGAAGCCGTCCTTTGAGCCCCTGAAGCCGCCGATGTGGACCGCCGTCTCGTTTGGCCGGTGAGGCTGGCGAATCATGCTGTGAAACTTGTTTGGATCGGCAGAGACAATCTTTACGCCGGTGCCTGCAGCCTGTAATCGCTGACTAAAGGCCCAATGGAACAAGGACTTGTAGGTGTCTGATACTGCGGCGGCGGATCCCGACTCACTTCCTCCAATTGTGCCTTGCTTTGGGGCAGTTGCAGGGACCGTGAAGACGAGCGGTTCTACGGATGGCGGAGGGGCCGTCTTGGAAGGTAAGCACGTTCCTTTGGGAAATATGATGTAGTTGTGCTGGACCTGGGCCTTTTCGGGGACGGGGAGATAGAAGGCATATTCTGTTGGGAAATTGTCAGTCTAAATGGGAGCTCTAGATTGCACCGGTGAGGTTTGACGAACCAATATCTCTCCACGCATAGCTGACGCCTTGCAGGGGAGCTGTTGTTCCAGGGGCTCTGGCATATAAGTGGTTGGAGGTGAAGCACATCTCCAGCTTCTTCCTCTGAGGCACGGACACCGAAATCTCTGCAATGCTCAGAAGGACAGCCTCGTCTGCCGCGTTTGAAAGCGCTGCCTGGCTGCTTGGGCTGCCTGCCTCTGCCCCGACTTTCCTCCTCTTCTGTGAGGGCTCTCCATGCTCTTGTAACCGTTCGAAGACGTGGTCGGCGATTTCGTTGAAGAGGGCAATTCGAGCAGGAGAGTCTAATGTACAGTTAGCCTCTTCGATCTGTGCAAGGCTGTGATTGCAGGGCTGTCCCCTGGCTTTTGGGGTATAGTATAGTGTATACCTGCAGCTTGGCTGATCCTGGCAATGATGTCAGGCCGAGACTGAAAGACGGCGTCTATTCGCTGCGCATTGAGTGATTGGGCCATTGTCACGCAGCGGGTGGGATCGAGGCCGACAGAATGCTGCAATGGAATGGAATGATGCCGGAAAAAGGGCAGATTCGGGGCTACACAGAGGCGCGGTTGAGAGCTTCAGGTTGATTTTACTTGCTTCTACAGCTGGACGCGACCTGTAGCGACGTCAAGGCGCTTAGTCATCAGCCGCCATGTCCCCCGCCATGAGGAGGTGAAGTATCAAGTGCTGGATTCACTCAAGATGCCTATCAAGATACCTATCGAGATACCGACTATATACTCCCTGCACGCTCATTTCCAGCTTGGTCAGCGACTAGAATCTCGCCTCGCAGCATGGCAGCGCCTTTTGCCAACTTGTACACGCTCCGAAAGGTGGCCGAGGCTGCCGCCAAAGCGTGCGACGTCTGCTACAAGCCCAGCACATCAGTGCTCATCACGCCTGACAAAAAGGTAGAGGCATTCCAGGCTGGCGATTGTAGAGAAAATGGTTTAACGTGACTTGCTTGCCTTAGGACTTCTTCTACATCTGCCCGGTGCACCTCAAGGACCGCAACTTTTGCAGTCCCAAGATTGATGAAGATGCGGTCAAGGCGAAGCGGGAGAAGGAGTTGGCTGAGGAGAAGGAGAAGTTGAAGAAGGAGTATGAAGAGAAGCAGCGCAAGAAGAAGGAAAAGGAAAAGGAAAAGGAAAAAGAAAAGGACAAGGACAAGAAGGATAAAGACAAAAAGGACAAGGACAAGGACAAAGAAAAGGACAAAGAAAAGGATAAGGATGAAGATGAAGCGGTAAGTCACGCAGTATTATCAGCACACAAACTTGCAGATGTTTGGTATATTGACATGAAGCCAGGAAAAGAGTCCAGGTGAAGAAACCCCCAAAGAGGAAGACGAGCCGCGAGTCTTTGAACTCAAGAGGTAAGGACAAGAGCAGAGCTCGTTTCTTACCGTTACTAACACCACGGAACAGTGTCTTCTATCAGCAGCGGTTACAACGCAAGCGCCAAGCGGAAGCTGCCAAACGAGACCGCGAACGAGCATCTCAGCCCAACTACTTTCCATCTGTGCCGACGGGAGCACCTAAAAGATAGACAGCATACCGCCGGACTTTTGTATTCAGCCTGTCATGCCAGTCTACCCCAGCAAGTGCCCATCGACATGGCCGTGCTATATCAATTTACTCGAATCGCTTGAGCCAGCCTACTTTTACTTTTTCCTTTCCCATCCTATGAGGTGGGATATCAACCAAACAGCCACAGGTTTGGCAAATATCGAGAGCTACCAACACCTTCGAGGCTTTGATGGACTAAATTTGTTCCTGATTAGCTCATCTACCCAAAAACGATGGCCCAGTTTGGTCAATTAGCTCATCTCCAAACCAGAATGACTCCCAACCATGCAATCCGAAACACTGCATTCTCATCTTTGAGTAAAGGCATTTCCAACTCCAATACTCGTCCTCGCCGACTCAATCGCTCAAACATGGTTCGTTGGGTCCGCTCTCGCGAGATCCTCGGACACAAAAGGATCTGCAAACAGGCCATAATGAGCAGACATTTGTCAGCATTTTACTTGGCCGATGTTGAATGATTTAGCCCAAATAATACGAGGCATATACCGGCCAATCATGCAATTTGCGGATGGAGACTGTCAATTCTCAGTAAAAGTCAGAGCGTGTTGGCCAGTTGGTCTCAAGTCGGGTCCCGAAACAGCGAAACAGCGACACAGAGGTTCCATGCCTCGCTGACATCAACTGTCGAATCGGGAGAGCCTTGCTAACTGCGGAAGCTGGTGATCGATCCATCCGAAGCTTACTTGTATTATGGAGAACCATTACGGCTAGTACGCACAATACAGCGCATAGCTGCAGTTCGTGGCAGACGGAGAGCCTAAGACGACAAGATGGTGGCAGCTTGACTAGTGCTTACACTTGCGGTGTCAACTACGAGCACCACTGGAGCAGCATCCACGTTGTGCCACTGCAGTTCCTGGGCTGAATTCACACCCCCCTCCACAAGACGAGACTCCAGGGAGACAAGCAGCAAGAAGAAAGGAAGAGGGGGGGGTTTGTTTCTCTAGTCCAATGGCTCAATTTCCCATTGCATCATCTGATTGATATTCCAGCCTTGTGCGGACGGCGGATACTTTTTTTTCTCCAAGCACACACTGGCGGGCGTGGAAAGCATCTTTAAGTTGCATGAGCTCCAAGGACGACAATTCGGCGACTCCAGACACACTTTCGAGCCTCGTGGTCCCCGGTTTCCACAAAAAGGCCAAGGTGATGAGCCAAATTCAAAGTTCAAAGAGCGAGCTGCGCCAAGCTGAGACCTGCGCCAAGTAAGCCTGACCTCTTATAGAGTGGCTTCAAAGAGACTTGCAGTTACTGTACAAAACTACTTGTACGGACCTTAGATGTCACAAGCGCGCGGGAGGTCGTCGGAGAAAGCATCGGAGCATGTCGTCGCAGAGAGCGTCGGGGGAGGAGTGCAAGTATTAGCAACAGCCCTCTTTCTTACTGGGCTATGCACATGTCTGCAGCAGGACCCAGCTCTATACCGAAATTCGTATAGGTCATCATCGCTCTGGGATCCTACCGGTTCAGCGCATCTTGACGACCAGATTTCAGACACCCCTCCCCCCTGTGCCCAGCTAGCAGAAGGAATTGGCCTCGTTGCTAGCAAGGAGAGAGTTGCCAATTTGCATAGCGCAACCCTGCTCTGCATGCTGACCTCTGCCCACCAAAAAAACAAATGCCCATTTGGGCTCATGCTACATACAAGTACGTCCATGTATATACACGTACCACTCTTGATTGCTGTGCCGAAAAGTAATCTGGGGATCTCCGGCGGCTGTTTCAATCGCCATTGGCTGCCTTTGTATCTGCGGGACTAGGCGCGTGCCGTCGCATTCTCATGCGGTTTTACATATGCGTCCGTCGTTGCTGCGTCTCGTTAACCAATCAATTCGAGATCAGAGCCACAATCAGTTGCGACGGCACCTCTCCGGTTGAGGACTGTCTTGATTCAAGATAGAATTACCTCTTTGTTCTTGTTCTCTCTTGAGGCCCTCTTGGACTTGGCTTAGATTCAGATATTTCGATTGTCTGAAAAGAGACCTGGGCGTGTTGAATAAGGCTTCCTGACAAAGACAACTGTCATCCGCGCTAGCTTTTCATCTCGGCTTCGAGTATCCGGTAGTATTGACGAGTTCCCGGTATTTGCGACGGCAAACCAGCAAAGAAACTCAAATGCAGAACCATGTTTCATTTGCTCGGTTACCCACTCAGACGGTAACAAGGTCTGGGCTAGCTGACCGGTGGATGAAAGCCACGGAAGCGTTACGCGGTTCATCCTGCAGGCCTTGGCGATGGTCAAGGGACAAAAGGGCTTGAGCGCAAGACTTCACCCCTCTACTCCATATAGGGTCCAAGCTTGAACCATGACCAGCCTTGGCCGCGAGCCCCCGGTGGAATGGTCGAATCCTACAAGCACCACTGCAGTGGAAGGGCGTGAAGAGTCGGCCTTGTTTGTGGAGGTTGCTGCAACGTCCCCATAACGCGGTCCGAGCTGTCATCGGATCCTGGGCGATTTTCGGTGCTTTTTGGTTTTTGTGAGTTGTGAGTTTTTGCGAGAACTGGACCCTGAAAGGAGATTATTTCCGGGGGCATATTCCAACGGTCGCCTAAACCTTTCTCCATGAAGAAAGGATGCTTTGACTGGGGAGGGGTTTATAATTCGCAAACAACTTTTGAAGTTCTAAACTCGAACGTGGGATGATGATTGGTGCGATAGAGTGTGTGGTATTGAGAGATTAACAACAATCAATCACCGCATTTTGAGCCCACTCTTTTGAAGACCTTTCTCGTGTCTCTATGCTCTCCATCTTTAGGGCCAACAAGAAGATTCCCGGATTAGTTTAAGCAGCATTCCCCCCTGGACTCTAGCTGGACTTGGCTACTCAAGCCACGTTTGAAATTGAACCTGCTTACGCCAGCAGGCAATACGACTAAGCAACTCGGAATCGACCGCACAAAGTTGCTGAAAACAATCCTTCTTACCATATTTGTCAAAGAGCATCTGTGCATACAAACTGCAGCTTGTCTAAAGGATCTAGATTCGTATGGGAGGGGCGATGGATGAAACAAACCCAATTGCCGCTGCATGGCCATGATCTTTTGTGAACCCCTCACCCCCCTTCCCGGGGTCACCGACGATCCCAGCTGCGTGGTATCACTGGGACCTGGTGCCTTGCTTTTTCTTTTTTTCGTTAGCAAGACGCCTCCATGGCCTTTGTTTTGGGTCGTACAGTAAGCTGGGGCGTGAGGAGGCTTGCGGTTAAGGCCAGGAAAGTTAAGCGACCATGTCGAGGTTACGATGAGTGAGAGAAATAAGCAGAGGGCAAAAGAGAAAGATTCTAGAAGGCACAAGGGATGGGCATGACTGCTTGGCCAGGGATGTAGTTTTTGGAAGGATCCCAGTATCCGGTGCTGACCTGTGGCCAAAAGCGGCCATATCGTTTGTTTTTGCTTGTAATTCTGCGTCGTATTTGTCGCCAACGTCGTGGTGGTCAAGGAAGGCCCTTGTTGAATGGAATGGCGAAAATGCAGGATTCGGGGCAGTTGAAACTCGGGGAAATCAAGTCTTACAGCTGCTCTACTCTGGGATATACATACTACCGTATTGGGGGAGTTATCAAAGCTGTTTCCGGCCCTGCGTCTTACATAGCTCAAACGTCCTGGCTAAGGATCACACCCCGTTTTTGTCTTCTGTTCTTCTTTATATGGTTGCCTATCTGTTAATTCTGTTGCCTATAAGGATGCGAATCCCGATTTGGTCCCCCCTCCCTTGGTTCTAGAACGTGTATTCGTTGACATGAGTTATCAAAGAGCCTCTTCTGATAACAAAGAAACCCTGGCAAGCAAGGGCCGGCAAACTCAATCCTGTGAAATTGCCCGACTTTTTTTTTTCCTTCTCTCTTTCAAGGGGGACTTTTCTGCGCATTATTATAGGATTATGTCAACAAATGAGATAAGCGGCCCGAAGACAAGGCCAGAAAATCAAATTCGCGCAACCTTGTGTTCAGCATGATGGGTAGTACACAATAGCTGACGTTTGTTATTTGATATAAAAAATGCCGAACCCTGCATTCTGTATTATATTGATAGGTAGTTTTTAGTTATATGCTCTTTGTTTAGTGCAGTTCTACTCTGGCCAACCAACTTGCAGCAAATTGTTAAAACCGGCGCTAAGAATCTACGGCCGTTGTGTCAGTTCAGCGACAGCCGGATATATACTATCCTGTCAACAGTAAAAGCTGCTGTAAAGTCCAGTCAGCAAGATTCGCTCAAAGAAGCAAAGCTGATGACCCTGAGTCAGTCCTACGAGCTGGGGGACCCATCCCCTGACAGAGATTACAAAAGCGGAAAAATATACAGTATATGGGTTTCGATATACGACTATATTCTGCTGCATCTACAAGGCGTCAAGTCATAAGGTTTTACCTAGTCTCTTTTTCCGGCATCTATTTTCCATGGTTAGTAATATTCCACCTTGATAGTAACAGAAAGGACTATTGCCGTGACTATCCCACCTCACCTGTAACCTTCTAATTCGGCTCTCCCCACCCCGAAGCAAGAAAGTAAAACACACCCCTTCTTTCTTTCCCGGCATATAATTTGTCCTTTTTTTTTTTTTTCCTTTTCCGTCCCGCCGGCAATGCAGAAAAAAGAAAAGGCCTTGATTTGAATATGTAGGTACTTTCGGGAAACAAGTTGATACTACCTAACATTCGCCTCCTTTTTTTTTTTGTCTCACCGACCCCGGTTTTGATTGGTTCCGCAGACGGAGGCTGGGGGGCGTTTGTTTGCTTCGGGCTTTTACCAAAATCCAAGTGTCCGGAAAAGCAAACGGCAATGAAATGCCGCGGAACTTCAGGACCCAATGTGGAATTATATAACAAGACAAAAGAAAGGGTACCTACGTACTGAGTATTATGCGAGTGGGAAAGAGTACTGTAGTATTCCGTGATTTACCGGGTGTGTGGTAAACGCGTCTGTCCAAGTAGGGCGTGTAGATGCAGCCTTACAATGCTACATGTACATGGCTTTTTCGCAACGGCAAACTTGGAATATACCGGTTGTGGATAATGGTGTATAAAAGTCACAGTCACATGCTAGATATATGGGAAAGGTTATCGAGCACCGCAGTTCTGTTATCCGGCATTCCGGCTATAGCGTGGACTGCTGCAGCAGATACTACTGATGCAACTTATGCCACTGTTGCATGTATTACGCAGCTGCATATTTTAATACGTGGGCTGGTAGCCTTGCCATACCGCAGTTGGGGGTCAGAAGTTGAGATTAGAGTGCTGTATACCTTTTCCCTAATAAATTCATGCTTCCATTAGCACAGGAATGTAAAAGAGGGAGAAGATACAAGTATGATGGGTGCATGGCATGGCTTGATTTCTACTCCTTTTGTCTTTTGAAGAACCCTCAGTTACAATGTTTACATAATCACACCACGCAAACATTACAGCCATGCATCGCAAGCATGTAATCAGTGGCAGAGAGAGAATCCTTATACTACTATTCTTCAGAGCCACAACTATAAATTCTTGGCAGTCCGAATGTGGCATCCCAAGATCGGCTAGACGCGAGAGTGTAGACATTTACCAAAGAAGACAGGCAAAGATGGTGAAAGAAAGATAAACTACTGTTTATAGGCGAAGTATAAGCGACGTAGGCGAATCTTGAATTGCTTTGCATATTGGTCCATTCATATCTCAGGCACTGCTCGGCAGTTACCATTGCGCTGTGATATTTATTGAGACAAATGCAATAGTTCTTTGCAGTGGCAGGTGGCTAGGAGAAGAAAGGAATCGAGATGTGATACAAGTACATGTTAAACAGTACCTATGCTCGCTCTGCCAAAGTAGGAAATTGCGAGGAATAATCCGGAGAATTAACCGGTCAATTTTGACGCCCTGATTCTGCTGCTACTCGTCCTTGATTTACAAGCACGAGCAATAGTGTCTGTAGTACCTGGTAGTGCATGTTAGTCACGACTGCTCTGCAGCAATCATAGGTTCCCATTGCCGCCTCTGGCCCCCGGTGGCATCCGAAGCATTGGCCTGGACACCTCCTCGTCGACCCTGGCCTTTTGCAGCGAAAAGGCCGGGTCCTCTCTGCCACCGCACGAGCACGGGAAGCCCTTCCAGTCGTACCGCCCCACGCCGGCGCCGCATCTGGGGTTCGGACACACCAGGCGGCCGCCGAGCTCGCCCTTCTCCAGTTCGCCGCGCATCCAGCTAAGCGGCTCGATGAAGAAGTGCTGGCAGGGCGGGCGTGTGGGCGGCGGCAGGCCCCGGGCCTTTGCGGCGTCGAGCTCCTCGTCGCTAAAGGGGCGTGGTTGATGCGGGACGATGAAGGGGCCTGTGACGAGGATGCGGCGGCACTTTTTGCAGCGGAGCCTTCTGTCTCCGGCGGGGGTGGAAGCAGACGTCGACGATGCATCAGCAGACGGCGCTGATGATGCCTCTGCGGCCACCTCGTCTCCGAAAAAGAGCTGCGAGGGGGCCTGGCCCACGGCGAGGCTTTCCTTGGCAGCACGCTGATATAGCCAGCGCTGGTAGATGGGCTGAGACTCGACACCCCCCTCGACAGGGCAGCCCATCCGCCACCAATGGTCGAGCTGCAGCATGAAGCCGCTGTTGGGGTCGGCAAGGGGCCGCGTCTTCTTGACAAAGGCGAGCGCTGCGCGGACCGGCTCACAGACAGATTCGTCATACTGTCCAGGATGCTGAGGGACTAGCGATGAGGCCAGTTCTGCGCCTGCAGAGCCGGTAAATCGATCGGGGTGGCGCCAGAGGAGATAGGCGATGATGACGGAGATGGAGCGAGACTTGCCCGCGGCACAGTGGACGAAGACGGCGCCGCGACGACCCCGTGGTGCTTCAGGTGCTTCAGGTGCATCAGGAGGAGGGACGCCCGATGCTGATGTTGATGCTGACACGAGTGATGACGTTGATGACGATGCTAAGCTCTTGTTGTCGCCATCCAAGGAGATGTCCTCGACGGCCTTTTGCATGCTAGCAACGTCGGAGCTAGAAGGGGCCTTGCGGCGGGGCCTGGTGCTCCGCAGCCCTTCGTCTATGAACTTGACTGCCTGGGGAAGCTCGATGAGGAGATCCGAGTCATCGACATCGTCAATGTCAATGAGGAGGTGCTGGAAGGCCTTGCCGTACTCGGAGAAGGGCTCATCCTTGAAGTTTTTGAGACTGGCCGGGTTGAAGGAGACTAGTGAGAGGACGTGTGTGATTTTCCTTTCCAGCAGGGACTGTGAGCGACGAAGGGCCCAGATGCTGTTTAAATGGATGTCAGCCATGAGGTTTCAATGAATTGTACATGCACATGATTCATGTAAAAGTGCTGTAACAAAAGAGTGTCTTCAACTCACCCTCCGACATAGAGATTCGGCACGCCATCAATCGTGCTCAGAGCCATCTCGACGACGCTCATCTCGAGAGCCCGGTGCTCTTCCAGTTCCAGCTGATGGCCGAATTGCTCTCTCTCGCCCTCGACGGGGGGGATGTCGTCTGGCAGTGGGGAGGCCAGTGTGTCTGACAGGGGTGAGCCTCGAAGAAATGCTTGTTGATTGGTATCTGTGTGGCTAATATACACCCAGCCTTTGGTATGTCGATGGTTCTGCGAATGTGTCTATGGCCAAAGTCTTGACGGCCAGAAATGAGTGCTGGGATATAGACACCGGATATGGAATTGCCTCTTCGTCCTTGCTCGCGGTTTGTCTGAATTTGTTTGACAAGAGATGAGTGGTGAGAAAGACGCGATGGTGTAAGAGAGGGGAAAACTCTGACGACCCAATGGCCAAAAGGCACGGAGACCAAGTCTCGACAGAATGCAGCAGCTCAAGTCAGGAATAGACAAAGAATTGCCAAAGAATATGAGATATCCAAGAGAAGAAAAAGAGTAGACGAGTTTGCGATAAACCAGCTCGCCTCGTCGTCGTTTCTATTGCCTCGGTTCAATGCTCAGAAGACGACAGCTCTGGATGCATCTTCATTTTTCCCGAGCGCACCGCCACTTGGACCTGTCAAGCTTCAGCCACAGCCCCTCTCGCACTCAGCCTTACGCCCTACAGGGCTCCAGCCTCGCGCTCGTCTACCGCCTGCTCCAGCGGGGGTTGCGCTGTAATCCTGCCCTGTAGCGTCTGCACTCGTGCCCTAAACGCGCGCTACGTCCAGCCGCAGCAGCCCACAGCACCCTCTCGTCCGCTAAATCGCCACCCGTGGGCGTTGTTCCATCTCCCAGCGTGTAAGTGAATCAAGCCAGCATGATGGAGGGTTGCACCAGCTGCGGCGCACGGCACTTTGCTCAATGTCGGGCTTATGTTGATGAGCGCAATGTACTTGGATGTACTTGTATGTTTGTGCTGCAGTGAATGTATCTGCATGTACTGCACAGCCTTGTTCTGCTATTGCCCATGGCCCCTGCACATGTCGGGTATCTTCCATGGGATTTGGCGATGCACAAACGCCGGCTGTTGGCTGGTTTGCGGGCATTTCTGCACCGGATGATGCTCGTTCCTTCGGGCGGACTCGTGCTCTCAGGACTTGCCTTTTGAAGCAGCAGCTGAGCAATAAAGGCGACTCTCTACATGTACGGAGGTAGATGGAGTGATGGACAGAGAATAGAAAGAATACATGTACACATCAGTCCTCCGTACATGTAGCTACTATTGCCATCGGCATTTGAAAGAACTAAAAGGAACAAGAATACGTCTCACAGGGATCCCCGTCTTTTCCCGCTAAAGATGCATTGCAGAAATCCTTCTCATCCTGCTGCCACTGCTACATACCTCCATATACTTACATGTAATCACAAGGCCCTCCACCTTTGATGCTCTGCTGCGAGATACCAGGCCCAACATTCATCAACTCTCACATCGAGGATACATTTACATGTGTATGCACATCACATCATACCTGTCCATCGTCATCTTTAAGGCGTGATGCTGCATCCATCGATTCACCCCCCCATCAATCGTTACCGACTGCCCAATGCACATGTGCATGCATGCGGGTGGAAATAGGACAAGCTATACATCTACATGTATGATGATCATCGTCAGCAGCATCATTGGCGATTGCCTGCCGATCAGTCACGGCCGTTGGGTTGCAACTGCTTCTTATCGGCAAGACTCTATATTTAGACGCTCTTGTATATAATTGATAATGGAAGCAGTGGAAGATCCATGCCATTTCCCCAAATGACTAATACCACGCTGTTGATGTCACTCGCCGTGGCTATATATGTCATACTTGGCAGTATTGCATTTCATCTCACCGTAAGCACCATGCTTGAGTTCTTTGCGACAGTCCTAGATTGAAGACCCAAACATGTACTCACCCTGTCCTTGCAGACTCTCCCACCACCTACCGATAAATCTTATTGGGATGTGCGCTTTGCAGATTCTCCATATATACTTTGCGTAAATGGAGGAGGGTGTGAGAGGTAGAAACGCTCAATGCAAGTATATCAGATGTGTGTGACAAGACTCCATACCTTGTGAACCAGCCGTAACATGATTACTGCCTACTTACATCTTTTATTCAAGCTCCAAAACAACGCATAATGTTCCTAACAAGTAATCATGCATCTTTTATGCCCCCCTCTTGTTGTCTTAAAGTGCTTACAAGTGGTAACTAAGCAGGTGTTTTTCATCTCAGGTCTCTTTTTAGCGGGAAGCCTTGCCGAGGCGCTTTTTGCCTTGAATTCTTGTCTTCTGGCTTCAACACACCTGCTCTCCCTTGGCTTGCCAGAGTATGATGCATGTAATCTACACATACTTGCAGGATCAGAGGCCAGGGAGGGCGTGAGAATGCCGCATCTTCCTTATGCCTTCTATTGATTCCAGTTGATTAAATCCGTTTTCCTGTTGATCTCTCCTAGCAGGATCCGATTGCGTCCCTCAGCCCCGTCTTTGAGCGGATACTACTCTGTAGTAGCACCGTACTATCTCTGTCCTATTATGCGTCAGCGACAACATAATTAGACGCCTGGCGTGCGCCAAAAGGCAATTAGGGCACGACAATCTCTTTTCCTCATCGACAAGAAGCAAACATTGAAGCGTCTGAGGCGCCTAGGCGAAAGTATTACTCCTTGGCTCGCATAAACTGTACAAGTGATGCTCTGTTTCAATCTTCATCTTTGTTTTCAATTTTATCTCAGTGTTATTACCCCATATTGCTCGATAATACACGTATCCATGACCCATCGCCTAAATACACGAATTTCCTCTTCCGTCCTTGATATTTTTTTCCTCCAACAGAAAGCCGTTATTCGCTTCGCCCTTGACCACTCCTACATCAATTACTAAATTATGCCTATTTGCCCCCCCCCTAAAACCTGTACGATAGTCAAGTAAATAGGCGCTCTTGGCACTCCATGCAAACCAGAAACTACTTGTACATCGCCCTTCCCCAGTGCCAAGACGCTGGCCGCGGGTTTCAGCAACGGCGCATGTATATCGCTGCCCGCTCAGGGCTTCACGTAGGGCGCTCTATCTCCATCTCCATCTCACGCAGTCTCCATTTCACAGCCAGGGATCCCCGGCTGTCCCCCCCATATTACTTACTGTATAGGCATCACGGAGGAAATAGTCCACCGAACGCAACCAAAGAACCATGATCGTCGGCGCCTTCCGCGAATTGGATCACAAATACACGTATTCTTCGCCAAACGGCACAACCAGCCCCGGGTTTCAAGACCGCAAACTGTTACTTGAGAGAAACCGGCATTAAACGTACAGTGTAAGCATATCATCATTTAGTAGCCCATGGGCCAGCACTATTGCTGCTAGTCCGAGTCCTAGTCATGCCTAGGTAGTCCTAGAGAGCCTCATGACTTGTACGTCTTCTATTTTAATGTTGTCCCATTGTTGCAATCATCTCGAAGCCGAGCCGAAACAAGTAAACAAGCTCCCCCCTCCCCCCTTATTAGTGATGCTTATACTGACAGCTGGGCTGATACCGCAGCCGACTTCGTGCCCTGCTTATCACGCATCGTTTCTTCTCACAAGCCCCTCCCTTCTGTTACCAGCAGGGTGGTTTTTATTTCCTCTTTCGGCCCCCAGCAGGACGCACCAGCGTGGTATTCCAAATGCACATGTCACAGATATATGCCTAGACACAGATATAGCTATTTTCCCGGTGCCAGCCTTGAATTGAACCATGTTCCATGTCTCTTGTTTTCACTTGCCGTTGTCAAAAGCTGGTTAATTCCAGTATTGCTAATCTTACTTGCGATAAACGATACACCACGCCAGCTTCTACCCGTCGGAACATTTAAAGCAAGGCTGTCGGTACCCACCAATCTTGAATCATCATTTATAAATCTCCTGCATATATAGATGTATACGTGAATAAGCACAATGTTCACACAAAGCCCTTGCAATACCAATGGACACCGGCATCTAAACAGCCCGCCCCCACGAACATCTTTCCAAGAAACATGGCATCGACTTTCTCTCGGCATCCTATCCAATCGGCATTCCATCCCATCTCTTCCAACGGCATTCCATCTCATCTCTTCCAACGGCAAGTTCCGCCCCGAAACTGCCTCAGGTGTACCTCATTCCTCATTGTCTTCGGTGACCATCTCACCACACGCCAAGGTATGTAATTACAGTAGCACCTTGGCGATCCAACCCCCTAACTCTCCTATTTCATCATCCTTCTCCTTCGTCGTCCATTCTTCTATGTAATTCCAAATCTGCACTCCGAAAAGTGAACACATCTAATCTTGGCCAAGTCATCTTCATCATCATCCTCGTCTAGTTCTCTTTCTTGTTTCGTTTCGTCTCACTGCTCCCCCCCTCCCCTTCCCCTCACTCACTCCAGATGCTCTCCTCAGCATGTAAGCAAAGGGCAATAAAACCAAGAAACAGGGGGAGCAATATGTCCTCCAATCATGACGAATTGCAAACATGGAGACGGTAGCAAGGCCAATGCAAGGCCAATGCACAGAGCAGCACTTCCTGTTTTGTTAACTTAACGCGAAGTCGGCAACAAACATGGCCGCATGGCTCCGTCATCTGGTCTTTATTGTGTCGTCCGTTGATGGAAAAGGGTGTTGCACATATTAATTATGCACATCATCATAAAACCATTAATCATCAAATCCATACTCCACACTGAATTATCCTCATTACAGCTCGAAGGAATCAAAAAGAGGCAAACATGGCTGAACAGAAAGCACACCTCGGCTTTGTATCAATCATATTCTCATTTGTACATGGCATTGCCTCGAATAGCTTTCCCAAGGTCATGTCTGTCTGTCTGTATGTATGTATAGTCTTTGTACATGGATTAAATTCCAACCTCTCCCTCTCCCTTTCAATTTTTTAAAACAAAATAATTCTTCCTTTTTCGCCTCTTTTTTTTCCAAAGCCCAGTGCCGGCATTACCCTCCATTCCCCCAATTCG